GGTTTTAACAAGTCAATAATGGTGAGTGCAACAAGAACAGCTTAATCAATGAGGCTGCAACGTTTGCAAACAAGGACTTGAATTATAGAGCCAATAATTGATCCCTTCCATTTTTCCCCTCTCCTTTGTGTGATGTCATTGTTTATTGATTGTTTCCTGCCAGTGAGGGATGATGGGAAGTTTCAGTATTAAAATTGCAAGCTGTAGCACCAGCTTAACCAAAAAGGATTAAGTCCCATACCCAACTGAGAACACAGATAATGCTCAGTAATTGGTAAAAAATGAAGATGAATGGGACAGCTAGATAAGGACCAATTAGCTGCTGGGAGTGTACAGCTGTGGTCTCCTCACAGTGCACTCTCAGGGGCCGAGGCCCTCTCTTTCTCTCTCTCTCTCACACACACACACACACACCTACACACACACATTCACACATGCAACCGTGCAAGCACGAGGGTGGGGCCAGCAGAAATTAGCCTGATGACCCTGGGAAGAGAGAATGATGCTTCCTCATCATCTCACCCAGAACCTCTTCTTTCAAGTCTCAGTCAGGCAGCACTCCAGGTACCTGTCACCACCCGTCCAGCTTCAGCCTAGCATGTGTCTTTCCACTCCCTGTTGGGGGCAGGTAGCCTGGACTGAAGCCACAGTTGTGGGATAAAGGGTTTTTAAAGCGGTGCTGCAGAATGTAACTGCTAATACAGCTTAGTTGCTGTGATACGGTTTTAGGCTTGATTTCATATGTACAGTAAAAGTCTGAAAGTTAGCCGTGAATGTTGTGTCTTCTCCTTTTACTGCGGTGCTGTCTGTCTGTGAGCTGTTTGGTCGGCATGTTGTGGCATCATCTGGCCGATGACAGTGGAATTCCCATATCTAATTACAAACAGGATTTCAGCTCCATTAGAGTTGTGTGGTGAAGAGTCAGGTGAGTGGCAGGGCAGCACCCAGTGGCCAAAGAGAGAGGGTGAAACACAGAGGCATACGTGACACTGAGTATAAAAAAGAGAGGGAGCGAGAAAAGGGTGAATGCTGCCTTATCTTTTCTTTCCACTGCTTTTCTGAGGGTCTAAGAAACACTTTATTTTCCTTCCACAGCTGAAAAAAAAGCAATTCCTTCTCTTGAAATTGGCAGCTGTTTGTTAGTGGGCAGCTGACAATATTTTCTCTCCCAGTAATGAAGGTTGTGTCTGGGGTCAGTGCACTGGGAGGGAATGGCGGACTGTTTATCCCCCTCAAGGCCCAGCGCCACACGTGTTTCGCTTGGTCTGTGATCTGTAATTGTGGCATTTCCTGAGAGGCACAGGAACAATCCACATTGTGCTTTGAGAGAGCTCCCCCTGCCCAACCAAAGAGTGTGAGGGAAAATCAAAGAAAGACACCCCCACGTACCTCTCGTTTTCTCTTTTTTACTTTTTATGTCAGTCGATTTCCATCTTTTATCTGTCTCTTCCTCATATACTCCTACAAACAATCTGTTTCCTTGCTCTGCTCCCACTCAGGATGTTTGGTTATTTTGGAGTTGAACTGGCTGTTTTTTTCCTTATAATTAATAACATTGATGCAAACAGGAAGGTCTAATTGTGATGAATATTTAATGTGAGGGAGAAACATTAGCCTGTTCAATTTACATCAACACAAAGACAGCGACAGGCAATCCAACAAACAGAACACAGTGTCCTTCACTGGCCAGCTCTGCTGTGCTTTGCTTCAAGCACTTCACAATAAGATATACTTCACAGACAAACACTGACACAAGGGACCTGTATTTTAGCCTGAGGAAGATTTTCTATGTTAAATGGATCTACGTCCTTTGTGGTATTATCAGAAGGGTGTTCATCATATCAGTTCCTCTCATGGTTGGTAACATAATTTGTGTAAGTAAACACATCCGTTTGTGTGAGTCTTAGTTTAAGCTGGATGATTACAAAACTCCAGTCTATTTCCTCAGAGCAGCTGTGGTCTGAGTCTGTAAAAAACAGCATGAAGTCATTCTCCAGACAGCGCTGTGAACAACAGTCAGTCCGGTCCCAACGAAGCTACAGCCAAATACAGTTTCCCTCCTGCCCACTCCATGCTATATTAGTCAAGTGATTTATAAGTTTGGATTGCTATTGGAGAATATTCTTGAGAGCTGGACATATTAGGCATTCACACTCCCAAATAGTTAGTGAAAGCAGGCCAGAGCGAGACACTTTTAGAATGTTAAGTAATCCTCTAATCATGCTTTCTTTTAAGTCAGTTCATATTTTTGTGAAATTGCTAAATGAAAATAAACATTGAGTGGAAGCCTGAGGCTAGATGAAGAAGGCAGAATACTGCTAGCAGTGTTTCATGGCCCTGTGGTGCAGAGCAGGCCATATTTCTCTGGCGTATTATCAGGATGACTCCTGCTGGCCACCCTGTCACAGGAGAGTGCTTGATATAAACAAGAGATTGCTGCGACACCCAGTAATCAATATTAGGATGGTTTCAGTACCAAACATCATTTGTCTCTGCAACCATTCCTTTGACCAAACGAAGCATTAATTCAAATCATAAATCTGAGCTGATTTAAATCCGAGGAGAGTGAGGGAGAGAGAGGCCCCTGTTTGACTGCCTGCCCCTAATGATTTATTTTCTACATTTCTGCGAGCGAGAGATTTGTCCATACTCACTGACAGGTCACCTTCAAACGCCAGTGGCAGACTGTTCATCACCATGCAGACGAGCATCTCATCGCTGCGAGTAAATATTAAAGGAAAAGAATCCAATTGATTGTGGATGGGGCCGAGAGGCGTCACTGCCATATATTTCACTCAGAGAGCTAATGCTGTGGCCCATGCACCCACACCTAGAGCTGCTCCCCCTTGCCAGAATTATGATTCTACCGGGAGCCTGTGTGGCTGGCTGTGGGCTCAAGGTTACAATTTAAATTGTAAAAAGATAAAACAGTTTCTTATTAGCTCCATTGCCATAGCCTTGCTGTTGGTACTCACATTTATCTTTATTTCCGTGACCTCGTATTCTCTTTTTTTTTTTTTACACACTCCATTCTCTTGGAGTGATGACCTCACACTTTATGCATTTTGCATTGTTAAATCTGCTTAGAAACACATCCTGTTTTGCTCTTGTGCACCATAAGCTCCATGGTGTCATGTATTACTGTTGAAATGTATTCAGGACTTGAGCCATTTATTACTGTAAGTGAATCAAAACCTCCATTTAGCAACCAAAGCTACAGAGATTACATTCTGTCTATGATTTGGAATGAGCTCATGAATCTGCACTAACATACATTATCATTCTCTTTAATACACTAAGTGGTTCTGTGTGATATTACAAAAATCCTTCTGCATTTTAGTGCTAATAATTAATTGAAATGCCACATAGCGAAAAAACCAATTCTCTCACCGCAATTCAATTAGACCTTGTTAAAAGCTGATAGCTTTGGGAAACTGTGCTCACACTTTCATTTAGCTTTTAAGAATGTTTTCTTTCATCACTTACACTTGCTTACACTTACCTTACCGAATGGAAAATCTACAGTGCATACATACAAATGGAACAAAAATATTCCACTATTTCATTTACACCGGAGATAGTGCCATCTAAGTCTTTCGTTTCAGACAAGCTTTATATATAGGATCACGTATTAACTCTGGCAAAGTGTTTTTTGTTTTAGGTGCTGCATATTTATTTGGCTCTTAATTAAGCAGCATGTCACAATCTACTTAAAAGATTTCAATTACATTTGGCTGAAAGTTAGGCAAACCTTTGGTGTGGGCAACAGTGCACTGGTGCAAACAAGCACGGTTTGTCTCAAGAGTGTTGACTCTTCAGTCATATACAGTGCATCTGTGTAGGTAGAGATACACTACCAGTCACTTCTGAGTGGTATTCTGTAGTAGGATAAGGACAGAAGGAAACAAGTGGAGAAAGAAGAGTGTGACAAGTGACTAAGGCCCCCAGCTAGAATCAAACTGAGGATGTTGTACCTTAACCATTCAACTATCAGGACACTATAAACTGTTGTAGCTGCATGCACTCTTCCACAATCTTCCTATAAATTTTGTTAATTTTCAGCAAAAGTGAAAAACAATACATTTGCATGATCCAAAGAAAAAGGTTTGTTTATATGTCATATTGCAATAATTGGCTGTCAAGCTCTTGCAGGTGCCAGTTACGCACATTTTCTGCTAGAAAACCGGCACAATTCGATAGTATTCTATCTATAGGTGGTGCTACAGAAATATGAAAGTTACAAACAATTTAATGGCCATATCTCAGAGGTTTTAAGTCTGACTCACTTTAAGGTCTCCTACAAGCCTTTCAACTTTACATTCAACTCCTACAACTTTCAAAGTGAATTTCAGATTTCTCAAAACATCATGGCTGGGATGAGCCAACCTGCATGATTTTCAATCATTATTTGTGTTTTGATAAAGATGTGGATCGAGATGCAAATTTAAAAGTGTGAGCCCACAAACATATCTATTCATGTTCTGGTATGTCCTACCATGTTGTTCTAATAGGTTGCCAGTTTCTTGTAAAATGCCACAATTCATACACACAAAGACTGTAACTGAAACCAAAAGTTAATGACAGGTGCACACACACTTACTCCTAGCTATCCTACAAAGCTACTGCAGACAGTAGTCTGCCAGTACATGGTCCAAACAAAACTTGACTAATCTAAATGGTCATAACACAAGTCGTGCGACTCACTTGAATTCTTACAAACCACCACTTTCACCGAAGATTTTTGACTTTTTTTTTTTAATTCGTGACTGTCTTCAGCAAATCTGCATTATTTTAAAGCAGTGTGTTCACTTTGATACAGAGGTTGACTGATATGCGCATTACAGTGTAAATATCTAAGCATTTTGTAAGCACACATGGTAGCAGAGCGATAACGGGGGTGGTATGAGTGCTCTGTGTGTCAAAATGGTTATAATTTCCTAAGTCTCAGTGTGTAGAACAGTCACACAAAACAGTGGGTGTTTTGTGACGGACATTCTCACCGACGCTGGAGCTGAGGTCTCCATTCTCTCCGTCGGCCCCATGGTGGTTGGCGTTGCTGTGGTAGCTGCTCATTGCCTCCAGCTTGATCTTCTTGACCTTCATGGCCTCTGCGATGGCTGCGTAAAAAAAAGCTGCTGCTGTCAGGCCTGAAGAGAGGAGGCAGAGGAGGCAGAGAGCGCTTACAGACTGCTACACGTCTACTGGGGCTGAGCCACTGCACCTGCAAAACTTTTCAGAAACCTGCTTTGTTGGGTTTAAGAGAAAAAAAAAAGCACTGAAAAGGAAATTTTGAAACAATAAAACAATGAATAATTTTATACACTATGGGGAATAAGCGCCTGTGAGCTCACAGCTTGTTTCTCATCCTTTGACACTAGATATCTTCACAGCAGGTTATCATGCTGATGGGATGGATTCCTGTGTGTGTGGCAGCATATTTTTTTATGCATTCATATTTTTATGAATGTTTCACCAACTCCAGCATTCCTTGCCACTAGTATTAATGTATTTGCTACTTGGTGTAACTAGATGGAATCAAGATAATAGTGTATGGTGCAAGCATTTTGTGTATACAACTTATAATACACAATATGAGTTTGTAGAGGCATAGTGGCACAGTGTGACATGGAAGGGTTCAGGGAAAGAAAGCGAAAGAAGATGTGAGAGAGGTTCAACATATACAGAGAGAGAACGGTGTCTTAAAAACTTCTTAACTGGGGTATTTTCATTGATACGGTCTAATTTATTCATCAGATCAAATTGCCCTGAATAATGCCCAACACTGACATTCAAATACATCACAGCTGCATAGTGTAGTGCTTCATAATAAGAGGGCTCTTCTGAGAGTCAAGGCCAGGCATCAAGCAGAATGAAAAGCTGTAAACAATGGACCAAGTATTCAGTTATTTTATTTCTTTAATACTTGTAAAAGAGTGACTGAGTGTATTCAGTATTTAGAAGGCCGTGTGAAATAAAAGTAAAGGAACATCAAAAAAAGAAAGTCATGGATGAAATTCAGGATGATTCTCACTATATTCTCAAAATAATTTCAGGACTTTTAAGGAAGGAAAATAATGAGGTGACAGGCAAAAAGAACTATCAAAAATTTTTTTAAGTGACACTGGGCGTATGAACACCAAAGAAATCTTCTAAAAAAAAAAAAAAACACAAAAAACTGTGGATAAATTATAATATATTGTGTTGTTTTTGTGTTTGTTTGTAAGACATTTTTATGCACAGTGTTTTTTAACTGCTCATAAAACCTGAAAAACAACCCTCAAAACAAAAAACCTATAGAAATATAAAATGACAATTGTCTCTGTTCATAGTCCAGCCTCTGAACAATTATATTAACTTGCACAAATGTCTGTTGTGGCTTATACAATACAAAAATTACACTACATTCTTTAGTATGCTTAACACTTAAAAATGTCTGACAACACAGCAGATAACTTTGAGAAATTAAATTGACTCTCCAGAGGCTGGAGGCTGCTGTTTTCTGTCTTTAGCAGACTAAATGACTATTGACTTCATATTTTAAATTATCCTTCACATTTCCACTGCCATCTCCGAATATATACTGCAACAGCAATATTTGACGTGATCATCTGGCTCAATCAAAACGGACTTGATATGATTGATATAGTAAGTCTGAGATTATAGACATATATATGCTGAGAGCACTGCAGAGATCATAAAGCACTGGTTTGTCATTGTGATAGTTCCAGGGTTCTGGTGTATTGAACGTGACTGAAATCTTTATTCATGAGGCTGGTCTCCAGCAGCAGGGACAGATAGTGCTAAAGCTCCACTAGTCCCGGTGTGTCTCGAGAGAGAGTCCCACGACTCTTCTCGCCAGCCCTAGCAACAAAATCAAAGATACACGGCAAGAAAAAGATATGTACAGTACCTATTAGTGGAATCACTCATATCCACAATATGGTATATCACCTGCCCTTTTACAGAGGCTGCTTATACTTGATATACAGGTTTTCCTTATGTTTGGCGCAGAACAAGGCAACGTCTGCGTTTATCAACACTAAGCTGTCACGTCTCCGTGATGGGACTCTAGAACAGCTATTAGCCATGCATTTGAGGGGAGACACAGGTACAAGGAGTGGTAGAAATCTAACATGTGAGTCTAATAGACACATGCGAGCATGCGCACACGCAGGCAAAAACACACGCTGACAAACACACACACGAGAACATACCAGCCTTCTCATCCCCAGCTGATAGGCAGATGGCGAGAGTCACTCTGAGCCACTGACACGGAGGTGCATATAATTTAAAGCCTTGTTTGCATCTTAAAATACATCAGTACCATATTGACGTACAGTATACATCATGTCAACCAGGGCCCTCTCATTTGCAATGGGCCCTGGCTGCTGTTCCATATGCATAGGCAGAGCACAAAAAAAGCCACTGCCTCATAAGAAGGTGATACTTCTCCACATAATGAATGTGGCCTCTGCCCAGTCTGAAGGTCAGCCTTCATTTGTGTATAATGGGCAAGAGTCAACTGTTTTCCAAATGAGACGTATGCAGAACAGACTGCCGAGTAAATATTGAAATCACCTCTGGGCTGTTTGTGTGATAAATTCCCCCTACAAATCAGGTGCTGCTCAAAGGAGTGCCGCAGTGGTGCTTTGTGATGCTCTCTAACTTTGGCTGGGAGAACACTGTGGTTTATAGCTCTGCAGCCTGTGCGCCATCAGTATTTCTGTTTCTTCACCAAACTGGTGTGAACTGTTCAAAAACAAAACACAAGAAAAAAGTAAAGTAATCCATGCAGAAGAAGGTGATAGGGTTTGATCAAATGTGTATAGAGCAACTAAAGGCAAAGGAACTGATTTGTACTATTGTGCAACAGATGAAATTATCACTTTCCCATTTTTCATCCTGCTCCAATCTTCATCGTGTTTGACAAAGTGACACACTCCATAAATCAAAATGTTTGTTCTGATAATTGTTTCATTTCACCAGATCAATTGTCATATCCAGATAACACACACACACACACACACCTCAATACTGTGGCTGTAATAAGGAAGCCTGGGAAATGTTGGCACCCAGCAACAAGTCTATTAAGCCACTAAAAGTTTAAACATCTACAATACCAGTCCCACTCAGTGCTAATCTGCATTCATTACTATGCAAACAAAACAATCCAGCCTCATATATTCTTTCAAAGTCACCTTTAGATTCAGACACTTTTCTCATAAAGACGCACGGGCAAGTCTGAATCCTCCTGAGCACAAAACAAACAGCGCATCACGGCTGCATGTGGAGAGCCACACCAGTCAAAGAACAGAAAAGGGAACATTTCACCAAATAGAGAATAGCACGGCACTGTCACATGGGGAGCACAAAACAGCAAATAACAGAGACAAGGTCTGATGGTAGCCCTTGGAGCAGCTGTCATATTAAATAATAATGAAGGATCTATTAATATGCAAAGGAAGCAGCAGCCGACTGGCTTAACGCTGTCATGCCTCTGCATATTGTCAGGATCTTCATCATTAATTAACATGCTAGCTGCCCCATACCTGCGCCAATGTCAGAACATTCTTACAACAAACACCCCAATGCCTGTGCCCTCCGCAACTAGCTCGTATAATTAAATTAAAATCAGATTAACTTCACATCAGTACACAAAAGACTGACTTTTATGACTTTCTCTCACAGCGATTAAAAAAATAAATAACTTATAAAAAACCAGAGCTTATCTGCTGTGTTTCTGTTCTGTTCTCTGTTAAGGACCGCACCATGGGCAACAATGAAAACACTTTATTTATCAGGGAAGCAGGATAAGTAGAGAAGAGATACTCCATGTCAATGAGCACGGCTGCCTAATTTTATGCATAGACCAGTGGCAGCATAGCAATGACAAACTGGGGTTGGGAACAACGCGACTCTTAGGTAGACTGCGCCACTTGAACTGTGCTATCCACATCATGACAAATTTAGTATCAATTACAGAGCGCGCTAACCTTATGACAAGCAGCAGACTGAAAGAGGCGGGGTAAAGGCACAAAGAAATGACACTAAATTACCTGGTGCATACTGGATCTATTTTAAAGCAGCTGGAAGTGGCAGTGGATTAGATGATCCACTCTAGAAGCTGATGTGCTAACTGTACATCAAACAAAAATATTACAATACATCTCCACCTACTATTATCCACACAAATACTTGGACTGTAAGGCAGAGCCAGCTGCCATTAGAAAACATTGGTTTTTTTTTATCAGTAAAGTACTGGATGCACCCCGGTAAGATGTAGGTGACATTCATTTCTCTAATGGTAAATGCAGTACTCTTGCATTCGAAAGGTTGAAGCCATATCCAGGACATAAATGAATTATACTGAAGCTGCGGCTTAAGTAGTAGCCAGAGTGTGAGTGGAGGCCCTCTCCACTTTAAAGGAGCTGTCATCTCAGTGTGGTGTCAGTCCACAGCAAATAATCCGATTTGGAGGCCAATCTGCCTGTAATGCATCAGCAACTGGAAAGGCTCCAGCACAACTCTCTCCCCCTCAACCCCCCGGGCATGAACGCAAGCATGTATACAGTACATTCAGACACTCACACATGCATATGTGCTGTCACACACATATGAGGGTATTTCCTTAAAGGGGAACCTTAATCATATTAAGTTGTCCTTTTCTAAATGGAGCTGGTGTCAAGAGCACAGATACATACGTACGTTAACAATGTGTTCCACACAGGCTCTCTGGTCGTGTTAGAGTGTGAAGAAGCCATTTTCCCACTGTGATGAATATAGTCAGTGATGTTGATCTAATATGACTTGAGTCTGTCTATTATCAAAAAGCATCTGCTGACCATGGCTTGTATGATGAAATCATAGTAAATAAAGTTGCTAAAACTGAGTAAATTAAGAAAAAAGAATGAAGTACCGGTTGTGTCGGCTCATAGCTTTAAAATGAAATTATTGAAAAAAGTTCCTATATCTATCGTAAGATGAGATTTCATGTGCTAGAGTAACACCAGGAGAGAGACGGCATGCTGCTGTGAAGGAAACTTTTCTGTCATGGAGTGTTTGGCTCGTTCTCTGTGGCCCATATTAATTGGTGCAGTGGCTTTTTCGTGGTGTCTTGGACTACTGGTGAAGCCTCAGAAAAAGCCATCGGCCCCTGCACCCCAGCCTGTGTGCAGGCGCTAACTCAGCTGAAAAAGCACTAATATGACATGACATGATAGTGTAACTATTTAAGACAGTTTCTCGATGTCGGCTTTTTATCATCAATCAGAATATCTGAACATGACAGGGATTTCAATTAGTCGCCCACTTAGACACTAACTTATGTGTGGTCAATTATACTTATTATTAATCTGTCAAAATCTGTAACTTCCTTGATGTTTAATGTTTAATGCTATCATCAAAACAATGAATGGTTTAATTATAACACAAACTGATAGAAAAGTTCAGCCTCACCACAGTTAGGAAGCTTAATGCAGTTGTGAGAAGACCAAAAAAACCTCAATTACTTTATCGCTGCCCTCTGAATACCCTGACTAAATGTCAAGATCATAGAGTCCCTCTGGGCTTAAAGGGGGTGATATCAAAAGGTTTCTCTGTTGCTTTATGTTCCACTAAATAACATGGGTCTTTCTCATCATTGTCCTCCTCTGTGTTCACTTCGGCCTTTAAGTTCGCCTTCTTTACTACAGCCCAGATAGCCAGTGACCTCACTCTATTCCCAGAGTTCAAAGCACTGGTCTGTGAGCCTGCATTGTACTGAATCACAGGGATGGCTCGATCTGTGTGTAATATTGAATTTCAAACCCCTCACAGACTCTGCACCGCTAAAGGAAAAAAGAAAAAAAAACACTTTGAGACCATTTTTGTAAAGATTGAAAAAAATGTGTGAACTAAGATAATTAACAAGTCTGTTAAAACTGTTATACGCCAAAGATCACAATAGAAAACCAGCACTTTTTTACTTGTTTTATCTCTAGAGTGCTACAGCACCACAGTTAATACTTGGTTAAATACAATGTGCACTGTATGCTGAGTGAGCATTCAAAGAGCTCCTTTTGACAGTACAATATCATTAAAGACATATCAAGAAGGAGAGCAAAATATGCAAATCAGAGCACTTGCAGCCAACATCAAAGCAGTCACAATCAAGCCAGCCACAAATAGAACAAAGGCATTAGTTGAAATAAGACTTGGCCCAGGGGTAAGTTAGGGCACAAACAGTTGTTGATTCTTGTGGCGATAAGCTTACATTAGCATCACCACTGCCTATGTACATATAGCAGTGGAGTGGATTTAATCGCACTAATTAGAATGCACTCAAGGCAAAATGCAACATCTACTGGAATAATCTGAGAGAAAAGAGCTCCACTCCAATTTATTCTCCCCCTCTTGGTTTACGGGGGTTGAGCAGAGGATCTGTTTTTGGTCAACGAGTGAGCGGCTGGTGTCTGGTGGTCGGGTGGTGCATGTGTCACTTTGGACTGGTTGCCATTTGGAGGACAAGCTGCAGGGAGGCCACTCACACGAAGGCTCTTTGGGTGTGTGTCAGTGTGTGTGTGTGACAGGAAGAAAAGAGGGAGACAGAAGACACCCAGACAGAGTGAATCAGAGCCCTGGCAACAGTAAAAGAGCTACAGACTGAGAGCAAACCATACCTGTGGGTGGGATCATGCCAGGAGACATGAGGCCAGGGACTGAGTGGGGCATGATGTGGGGGTTCTCTGGTGATGTCACACTCTGGGTCCTCTTCGGAGGCCGGCCGGGTCTGGAGCTAAAACACAGGGCAGAGGAGGAGGAGAACGTGGGTGAGAGATGAGGAGGAGACCGGCAGAGGGAGGAGGAGTTGTGTGGGTGGTGGTGGTGGAGGGGGGAGGTGTTAACATTTGGAGCACTCCAGAATGCAATTCCATTCCAAAGAGCTAACATGTACTGTAAATAAATTTCTTTTCAAGGACAGTTGCATTCTGCAGCTCAACATAATAGACTTCCATAACTAATTAGATTACACAGTGAATTCATTTCCTTTATTGAAGATCAACCACTTTTTGATGCATAATTCATAACCCGTACCTCGTTACCTGTTCCTCCGTATTAATATCCCCACACTATTTGAATTGCCTCGTTTGCATATGCTAAAATCCAGAGCGCGGCCTCGGCCTGGAAATTACATGTTAACTTGTTATAATTATTGCAGTCAGGCCACTATTGATTTATGAGACTTTTAAAAACCAAATATGTGTAGTTCTGGTAATGAATGATATTTTAAGGTTCTTCAGGAAATTAAAAGGCAATGGCTGCCTTAGGAAATGTTCTGCTTGCTTGATTTAATGCATGCCTTAGCTGGAAGGTGGTGTGACAGAGTGATTCAGACCTGTTGGACGGTTCTGATGGGGGAGTTTTATTACACCAAACGAGGGGCACAGATCCAGCCGTGATAAATGACTGTGCCACCTTACTGTGGAGGAGAAAGGGCCTTCACAGCAGATACACCCCTGACTTTCCACACATCTTATTCATTCACTTATTAATACAGCTTCGATTTGCAATCAATACCTACTTTGCTGGCTTATAGTTACAAAGAAAAGCCTAGAGGGTGAAAAAAAATGCAACGAGCATATAATGGGGGGGCATGAGATCCGATAGAGGTATATTCTTTATGAACAAGGAACTGGATGTCTCAGGTGAAGATGAATTACAGTGACTTGACACAGGTGACATATTGGCTTCATACATTATTTCACATACAATAGTCCATTTAAAGCTTTACCAAGATACTAAGTTTATTCCAATATGAGCTGAGGTTAATCCATCTTTCACTACGGGAGGAAACCTGGACAAACAGCAGTAAATTTTACAAAGGAGCAGAGCCGGAAATCTGAGAAGAGTTTGAGTTACTGTCAACTTTGTTATAAGGTGTGATTCTTTTTCAAATCCTGAGAACATTCTCTTCATAAATATACTTATATAGGTCTTGATTATGCTTTTGCCATGATTACTTTATGCCCACTGCAGGGGCAGATCTGGAAAATTTTGGACAGGCTGGGGAACAGACAGAGAGAAGGTTGGCATATTTGAAATAAATGTAAAAAGTAAATTAAACCCTAGTTCGATGAAATACGGGGACATTTCTACTGCACAGTCATCGTCATCCCCCAATCGCCACCGAGGCAAATCACGCCAAATACTCCACAACAACACAAAGAAATGAATGTAAATATCATGCTGCATTCATGACATATAAAATAAAACTAATCAATTATAAAGCACCAGAAAATTTGTATTTAAGGCAACAATTTCTCATTGTTTTTAATTTTTCATTCCTTAATACTGACAAGCATCATATCTGGACTCTGGCAGGAGTGGCACCAGGTGTGGCCAATCAGATTCTGGGGCCACCTCTGGCCACCACCCTGGCTCCAGCCATGGTCCACTGACAACATTGACTCTGCTGTATTTTCTCACATAGGTAAAGTTTAATTTGTCAAATGATTTTTAATGTGAACACTGGCTTATGAGTTTTTAAAGAGGTTTACAGGCAGGCTATAACAAATAAAGGTTTACTATGTAATTAATAAATGTAACCAATCAATGAGATCTCCTAATGTTTTTAATAAAGATGGCTCCTTCAGGACTTCACCAGTACAGTATACGAGGCTGTTTGTGTTTCGGTGCATTTCACTACATTCCCCAAAGGCAGTATCTACAGAGTAAGTCAGCAGATTAGTACAGATACCTCACAGCCTTAGTGACTGAATTTATTCAGCCGTGTCTTGTGAGGTTTATTTACCTCAGTCCTGCTAATAGAGTGCACTCGCTCTATCTGTCTGAATGTGCTGACTCTCTCATATACCAGCTCTGGAGATTTTAGGTCTAAAAGCAGACTTTCACCCAACTGTGTCCCTTTGGAGGGAAAACACACAAGTGATAGAAAGAGGTAGCGAGAGGTAGAGCAAATGACAGAATGTGAGAGGAGGGCAGTGGAAAAAAAAAAGAGGGAGAAAGCGAGGGGGGGCAGAAAGACAAACGAGTGCCCGCTCAACCCAGGAACGTCTGGAAATGTAATTCCTATTTCTATAGAAGCACCTCTTTGATCTTATGAGAGAGAGATCGCAGACAGTTTTGCTGTCATCACTTTCACTTGTACTCTGGCTGAATTATTTATGAAAGACCTCAATAGAGGGTATGTGATGGGTAAAAGGCTTTTTACCAACAATACTAAAAGCAAAAAGGCCCTCAAATGGGCCAAAAATGTCACATCAACCTCAGATCATGTCAAAGGATGTGAACCCAGGTACAAAGACCCAGTTAAGTAAAGGTGATGTTTAGATAGCCTGCTAAAGAATCTGTCCATGTTTAAGGGGATAGCATTTCAACTACTCTCTGCACACAAATAACACTGGCTAGCCATGAAAGCAATACGCAAACTGAAAAAGAGCTTTGAACTGAGGAACCTCCAAGCAACAGGAAAGCTTCTGAGAAATTAATGATATTGTTTCCTTTCCTCATGCTTGTGTAGAAATGGCAGAAGCACTTTATTTTAGAGGGGTTTGTGGTGACCAGCTCTTCAAAGCCTTTTGAGATATATATATATATATATACATCGATATAGCTAATGCTTAACAATATGTGATGTACTTCCATGGAATGCCAGGTCTGAGGCATGCATGCTAACATCCGCACAGATCTGCGATGGTCAGAGCCATCCAGGCTAATAAACTGAGTCCAGAGAGGAACTCAACCTGGCCTCAAACTAAAGAGAGAGGCTATTTATCAAGCAGCAGATGCTGATTCCCTAAATAGCCTGGCACAGAAACTGCTCCAAACTAGGCCATTATTGCAGAAAAAAAAGCCAGAACAACTGGATTTATGATTGGAATTTTGGTATGTCTCATGCCTCACCGCTGTTGTCTTTTCTAATCTTTCTCACCATCTTTTCATTTTCTCTGCTCTGTTTTGAAACAGTGTGGGAAAATATCCTCTGGATATTAAATTGGACTTATTTGGCCAATACTACTCTCATATTGAAGGTCAATTATGAAATAACTTTAATGCCTGACTTGTTTAAATTTATACCAAAGATAATCAGGGTCCTCATATCTCTGGCTTCAATTAAGAAAACAAAATAGACCCCACCAGACTTGGACCAGTGCCACAAATATGTTACACATCTATTCTCTCTTTTTTTGTTTTGCTGCCATAGTGAAAAGAAAATAGTGGTGAACTTTCCCTGAACCAGACTTCCTTTAATGGCCCGGCCGTGTGTTGACCCAGCAGAGTCGGCTGGAACCTGATACTATCCAACACACTACGCTGCACAGGCAATCAGATTACATGGGGCTCAACAATACACTCCACATGAGTCTAGTTTCAGCACTACAATGCAATAAAAGCACAATAATTAAATTCACGTTCTCACCCTGTTTACAGGAAGCCAACACAAGGCGATAGGTATAATAAGAGGTATAATATCGGATGAGACGTCAGGACCATCGTTGATCTCATGGCAAAATTCTGACGTCTCACTATCAGACTCTTTTCTGTCGACGGAAGCAATGACTGAGATCTTATTACCCAGAACGCCGTTAATGCAGTGATTATGATCTGTTATAAATCAATTGAAACCACAAATGTAATGTTTAGCCCAAGTGAGCACACTCCCTTAGTGGATTTAGTTACACACAAAATCACCTGCTCCTCCCATCTTTGGATATCTTTAGGAATTCAACCTGATTATGTCAATAGTGACTCTGGTTTGCAGAGAAAGAGCACAATATTATTTCCTGCTGGTTATGATTGAGCCATTAACCTTTTATCTCAGTCTTTTGTTTGACGTTTCTAAAAGGTAAGGATGAAGATATTTATTCCATTTCCGCCCAGTTGGCCAAAACAAGCGAGTGAATCATTCTGTCTGGGGCTTATGTAAACAAAAGGCCTCTCCAGGTCTCTGCCAATCAGGCCTTATAAAATATTAACCCAATGTCATTGCCCTTTTAAAATCTCTCACCTAGAATTCCCTAATTGTTCCTTTTCTTTATCTCTCCAGTGCAGAGAGTAAATAAATTAACAAAATAGCTTTTATCACCCTGAGTAACCTTTTAACTGAAGGATTATCTGGGGTTTATTTTTCATTTCTCTCAGAGCGATAGCAGAGTATGCCCCATTGATTGGTTTGCCGAGGTGGTGACCAGCCATGAAAACAAGGTCTTATTGATAAAACAAAGCAGCCCCTTACCTATTAAGTACCAGGTCAGGCAGAAATTCAGAGGTCTCAGACCATCAGGGGCTTGAATATGCTGAGTTTATAGCTTTTTTAACATTTTTTGTTTAATCAAACTGCTTAACAAGATGCACGCAGCTCCCCTGAGAGCTTATGTTTGTTGAAAGTCGGATAACATGGATGTGGTGTACTACCAATTTAAAATCGCCACAGACAAGATAACAGCTTTGGTTGAGAAGAAAAGATGAAATGTTTAACTTTAATTGTAAAAAATAGTTATTTTAGAACAAACTTCTGTGTTTTCTTCACTTTGAAAACAAAACTGCTTTATGACATGCATGTATCAGTATAAAAATCTATTTCAAACTATAGTGTACGGTGAACACGAATAAAATACTAATTTCTCAATGTGGATCTGGGGTGATAAGAATTAATTATCAGCTGATTTGAATGTGATTTCAGTTCTTTTTCCCTTTTGAAGAGAATTAGTTTTTTTAAAAGAAGTAAATTACGTCAAAATCAATTAAAAGTTTCATTTACTGACACTGAATATA